TTCCCCAAGCAGCACGGGAATGGGATAATCATCATAGACAGCAAAAGTCCACATTCCTGACCAGCCCTTGTACTGGACAGGCAACTTGGCTGTAGGCAAGTCAAAAGAGTTTGACTTGAAGGATTGAATCGTCACTTGGGCCTCTGGGTTAATGAATTTGGGGTCCACTAAGGATTGGTGGATAGCTGACATCTGTGCTCCAGTGTCCCTCCACACGATAACCTTTTTCCCACCCACACTCACAGTTTCCCTTCGCTCTGAGCATATCTGGGAGGCATCTGGGCCTGAGGACCTTTGGTGTGACCCCAGTACAATGAACTGCAATCTGTTGGGGTTCTTGGGGCAGTTGGCCTTTACATGCCCCAGGTCATTACATTTAAAACATCACCCAGCTGACTGGTCACTGGGGTGAGGTGGGTTGCTGGAGAATGGTGTGGTGGGACAATAAGGTGTCTGGGGTTTTCCTTGGGGTGTAGGTGGGGCCTTGGGCTGCCCATGGTGGTATGGCGTGGTCTCGGGGTGTCCCTTTTGGTATCTTCCCAAACTGTGACTACGGTTGTTCCTCTCTGCTACCTCCACCCATTTTGTTCCGATTTGCCCAGCCTCTCTGGCAGTGTGGGACTGCTCATATTGATCAGCATAAGAGGCAAGACTTTCGGCTGAGTCCATTTTCTTTTCCCACAAACACTGCTTTACATCATCATTGGTCATAGTCAGGAACTGCTCCTGTACAACCAAATCACACATTACTTTAAAGCTATTTACTCCCCTTCCTTTGACCCATTTATCTAACAAATCCTTCATCTGGTTTACATAAGCCACATTAGTTAGTGGAGCCCCTCTCTTAATGGCTCTAAATTTTACTCTGTAAGTTTCAGATGTAATTTGAAATTGTTTCAAAACCAAATCCTTAAATATACCATAGTCAGAAGCATCCTCAATAGGCATCTTGTTGAATATGTCCAGAGCTCTTCCAGTCAATTTTGCTACCAGTGCAGTTATCTTGTGATCTTCAGGAATGCATGGAGGGTGCACAGTCTCTCAAAGGTGATGAAATATTCAGCAATATCACCTACTGCCAGGCCCTGCCTTCCTCTCCCCAGCATGCTCAGTTAACACTGTGACCTTAATTTTAGTGGTTATGGCACATCTGGTGCAAGTGTGAATGGAAAATTCATAACATTTTATTCTTCTGTCAATGTTTGTACTTAACTTAAATAACTCCTCTCCCTCCCTGGTATTTGTACCTCTGTTGTTTTTCTAGAGTACAATCATAGCTCCCCTCAGCCTTCTTTTAGTTAGGCTAAATCAGCCAAGCTCTTTGAGTCTTCTCTCCTAAGGCAGGTTTTCCAGTCATCAAATAATCCTAGTAGCCCTTCTTTGTACCTGTTCCAATTTGAATTCATTTTTCTTTAACATGGCCATCCTGCCACAAGCTTCTCATTGCTCTTATTAAAAACTGAGGCAAGGTGTTCATTTAGCAGTTAGGTCACACCTATGTAACCCTTCTGTGAGCTGGAGCTGACAGCAACCAGGGCCGGGTTCAATATCTAGGGGTTCCTTTCCATCAATACAACATGGAACCGGCTCGAGCCCCCACCCAGTAACCTGGGAAATTTACACTCCACCCCTGGGCACCTCTGAGATGCAGTACCTCCCCACTCTCAAGCACAGAGTCTGAGTGTAGAAAAGAAACTTTTAATAAAAGTAGGGAAGTAACTTGTTAATTTGGGAAAACCCTGCAGACAGGGTTTATAAACATAAACCATGAGTAAAAGACCCACCCCCAAGTGGCTGGGCAGTGTCCTTTTCCCCTCAGGTTCTTAAGTCCAGCAACCCAAAAGGCCATTTCATGTGCCCGTCCCTTCTCTGCACCCCATTCACAGTTGCTGTCCTTGGACAGTGAAGCCCCAGAGTTCAGAGATGCATCCACAGAGTTCTCTTCCTGCCCTGGGTGAAAATGGCGGGGTAGAAGGAGGCCTTACTCGCTCTGCTCCTCGGGCACTCGTTCACTGACCCTCTCTCCGGGGCTCTGCTCTGACACTCTCCGCCAGCCACCCTGCTGGCTGCATCAAGGTCTCTTCTGGGCCCCCCACTTGACACAGCTCTCAGTGATTTCAGCTGTTAGTGGGGGAGCCTCACTGCTGGTGCACACTGGGCAGTCTCTTGCATCGGAGACACTGTCTCAAAGCAGGTCTAATACTTAGACCTAGGTATCTGCGATTTCAGCTCTGCAGCATGTAACAAGACTCTCAATTGAGTCTAAATTAGATCTGTTATACAACGGAGAGAGGAAGGGGCAAATGGTGTTTGGGACCCTTAGGCAAAGCCGGTAAGGCCCACAACACATGTACATACGTGTGTGTGTGCGTTCCTTCGGGGTATGCTTGGTACAGTTCTACTGCCCTTGATTCACACAACAAGGATAACAACCCTTTATTACTCCTACCCCAATAACAAAGAAGCTGGGGATCCAACACCAGCCAAAGGTGACCATTTGGGAAAGCAATCCCATCATGCTGAGCAGCTAAGCAGGGTGGGTGTGTCCATGCACACAAGATCAGCTCCTGAAGTCCTTTTCCACAGCTCACCACCAGATGTCAGGGGAGAGGTCATTCAAACTCTGCTTACAGCTATATCTTTAATCTCCACCCCACCTTCAGTTCTTAGCAGTCCCACTTCTTCTTTCCTCGTTTTCTTTTTATTTATAAGGCTATTTATATGCCCTTCCCTACAGGTGTCTTCCTGGATGCAGACTCCAGAGAGTTTCAGCAACTTTGACTGAAAGTAATTCCAAGCCTCCTCCACATCCAGATCCTTGAGATTTGCAAGCCATCCACTTCCCTAATTAATTCCCTTAATTTTTTACAGTTTGCCCTTTTGAAATCCAGGACTCCCTTCTACCGACCTGTTTTGCTTTATCCTTCCATTTAATTTAACTTGAATTAGCTCATGGTCACTCGAACCAAGACTGTCCTCTACAGCCAGTTCTTCAGTGACGTCCTCGCTACTTACCAATACCAAATCTAAACTGGCATCACCTCTGGTTGGTTCGTGACTATTTGGTGAATATCCAGGCCCTTCCATTATTAATAGATTTCTCCCCCAATCTCTGTCTTGAAAATTAAAGTCTCTCATAATCACACAATTGCCAGTGGTATTTCTTTCATTCAAACTATTAAAGGGGTCTCTATCCACACCCAAACTGGACCTTTGGGTGTGTAGCAGACCCCAAGCACTCTCCCCGGGGCGCCTCTGGTAGCTTTCCTCCCCTACAGTGATTATGACCCAAACAGATTCTGTTTTATCCATTCCATCCCTTCTCATTTCTTTACACTCCACCTCATCATGAATATACAATGCTACTCTGCCACCTTTGCCTTTTTTTTTTTTGTCCTGTAACCGAGCCATGGCTGTTATTGCCCCATGGTTCTGTTCTCCCCATAATATCTGGTTTCCCGCCCTTCACCTGTAGTTCTACTTCCTCCATTTTTTCACCCAGGCGCCTGGTGTTGCTGGGCAGACATCCTACTGAGTCCACTTGGCTTTGCTCAGATTTCTCACCCAGGTAGGTACAGTCCTTTTACTGCCAGTATCGGCCACCTGACTGTTAGTGTCGGTTGTTCCTCTTGTCGTCCATTCTCCAGCCCCTGTCATTCCTTTCTCCATTGCTGTGTCCTCTCCTACTTGATTTGCCTCCCGCTCAGTGTAAGAATCAGGTCTTGAGATTCCAAGGCCATCTCCGAGGGTTGCTAGTTTAAAGCCCTTTTAATCAGTTGTGCCAACCTCCATCCTGAAAGTCTGTCTCTCTCCCTACTCAGGAGGTGTCCATTCCATGAGACCAGTCCTCTGGCCATGAACGCCTGTTATGCTCATAAGAAACACACAGGACCTTTTTCAGGGCAAAAAAGGCAATATGACACATTTATTGAAGATACAACAATTACCATATGCATTCAATCATACCACACAGACACACACCAAAGGTTCTGCAGCTGGATCTTATAGTTACCAGTTCTTAGTGTTGCTCGGTCAGTTCCAGTGGCCAGCAGAAACTGCACATGAGGGAGGGTGAGCTGGGCTCTGTTGAACATGTTCGAAGCTCTGATGTTGATGCAGAATGAATCCAAAGTCCCATGGCAATACACCCTTCTTTTGTAGTGATAAATTCCCATACAAGTCTCTGGACCTTTTGTGTTACACCGGAGCTGTTCAAGGTTCCTCAAATCAGCATTATTTGGGTTGTTACTAGGAGTTATCCACAGCTGTTTCTTATCACGTCCCTCTGGCTCCACTCTTTATCTTGTCCTTGGGGTGCATGCCTTTGCTTTAGGGTCGTCAGTCTGCCATCTGGGTGAAAGTTGGCACCCCTTGACTCCTCCACTCCCTTCTTGATCATCTGGCCTAGCTGTCCCTTCTCAGTTAATTACCATACATTCTTCATTCTCACTGAACAGTAAATAAGGCAATTACAGCCATAAAACTTCTATCCTTCTCAAAACGATCATTAGCAAATCAGTAAAGAATAAACTCAGAACAATTTCTTCTTACTAATTCAAAACTAGAAAAATGGAGTATAAAGCAAAATAAGTAAAATGGAGTACAATTTTATTTGAGAAAATTTCTTCCCATTAGGCTTTTGGCCTACAAGCCTCCCAGTGGTCGAACATCCTCAAGCCCTCCTTAGCTACACTGCCTGAGACATCTGTTAATCATCTGCATCTTGTCTCGTCTTTGCTTTTCTCCTCCCACTGAAGATCACCTGAGTCTCCATTTCTTTAAGGTCTTCCCCAGCCTGGTGCAGTCTCCCTTGATGTGTTCCAGCAAGAATCTAGGGGTCTTTCCCCTCCAGAGAGTTCTGGCTCTGATCCAGCCCTAGGGCAGGGGGATGGGCTGGCTCGGGAGGGTGGGAATGGGGCATGGGGCTCTGATCAGGGAGCCGCAGGACAGGCTCACGTGTGGGTTGGGGTCCCAGATCTAACACTGCTCTCTCCCTGCAGCAGGGGCCGGGGGCTCAGCCGGAGTCGGGGCGCCCGGTACAGCTGGTGCATCTGGACGAGGAAGGGGGCCTGACCCTGGACGAGGAGGCCCTGAGAGGCTGCCTGGAGCAGGGTGGGGTGGGGGATGCCCCTGTCTGCCTGGTCTCCATTATCGGGGAGCAGCGCTGGGGCAAATCCTTCCTGCTGAACTACCTGCTGCGCCGGCTCCAGAGCCCGGTGAGTGTGAACGGGAGCAGGAGTGTGCTGTGAGTGTGAGCAGCCCCATCCTGCCCCCTGCTGGCAGGTTCAGAGCTAAACATGTGTCTGTGAGCAGCCCTCCCCGCACCATGTCCAGTTAGCTCGGGCCATGGCTGGACCCTAACGCATCTGTCTGCCTATCTGAAACACAGCGTGTCTCTCTCTGTGTCTAGACAGCAGTGGGTCTGTTTGTCTATCAGATTACGAGTACACCCGTCACCATGTATTCCTCCCCCACACACACACACACTAACACAATTAACCACTGTGCCCCTCCCAGGGTTTGCAGTCTGGGGTAAGAGGGGGGTACCAGTCACTCTCCTCCCCCACCCTGCACTGACCTCTCCCCTGCCATGTTCCCTCCCCGCAGGACGTGAGGGATGGGTCATGGATGGGCCAGGAGGACAAGCTCCTGGAGGGGTTTGAGTGGCGCGCGGATGAGCAGCAAGTCACCAAGGGGGTGTGGGCATGGAGTCTGCCCTTCTGGGTCCCAGCCAAGGGGGAAAAGGTAAGTGGGGGTGTTGGGGGTGCACAGGGAAGGGGGAGGAGGCCATGTGGGGGCTGGTAGAAGGGAATGGGGAACAGGGTAGAAGGCTGGGAACAGAGGGAATGGGGGAAAACAGGGAGAGATGGACCAAGACATGGGAAAGGAGGCCCCAGGGGAACCAGGTGGAGAGAGAAGAGGGGGAATGAAGAAGAGACAGAAGTAGGGAGCTAACACTGGGGGACTTCCAGGGAAGGCAAGAATGAGATGCCAGGTGCCATGGGGGCTGAGCAGTGGGCAGGCTCTGGGGATAGAAGGGCTATGGGTGGCTGGACAAAGCCAGGAGCTGACCCGGGGCTCTCACTCTTGCCCCCCCCCCCAGGTGGCCGTGCTGCTGGTCGACACCGAGGGCTCCATGGACATTGAAAGGAACAAGGAGACCAGCATCAAACTCGCTGCCTTATCCATGCTGCTCAGCTCCTACCAGGTTGGGAAGTTCCCTGGGGGCCACTGTGCTGCAGGCAGCAGGGCAGGGGCTCAGCAGGGGGCGCTCTCCCCTGGCAATCAAGGCTGCCCCAATGCCCCAGTGCAGCACTAGGGGGTGCTGTGCTGCAGGGATTATGGTGAAGGCTCAGCAGGGGGCGCTCTCCCCTGGCACTCAGGGTTGGCCCCGATGTCCCAGTGTGGCACTAGGGGGCGCTGTGCTCGAGGTGGCTGACGTGGCTGGAAAGTGGCCTGGGGCGGCCGTCACTACTCATTGCTGTAGCTCTCTCTGTCTACTGATTATTTGCAGATACTGAACATTGGCCGTCGGGTGAAGGACCCGGATCTCGAATACCTGGAGGTGAGGCCGGGCAGTGCAATGCAGAATGTGGCCAGGCCAGGTTCTCCTGTTAGTCCCACAGGGTTATTATCCCTCCCCGTAGGTCCTGGAGGGAAACTGAGGCCCAGAGAGAGAAACTGACTCTCCCATAGTCACGTGAGCCTCTGGAGTCAGCACGGGCACCACACGGCCCAGCCTGGTTCTCTGCCCCCAGGTGTCCGGCATGGGCCACTGGGCCAAAGTTAGGCCCCCTCCCTCCCCTCCAGCCCAGCTCTGCCATCAGTGGGAAGGCTGCTGGGGCCAGGGGCTGGGGCGTTTGCTCTGTCCCCTGCTCTGCTCTGTTCTTCTCTTCAGGCTCTTACCCAGCCCCAGCCATGCCGGGTCGAGTCTCTGTGAGTTGCGTCCTTAGCATATCACTGCTGCCTGTGGCATACGGCGTGTCCTGCCCCTGTACCGTGCCACGGGGGGATTCTCTGTGCGGGGGAGGGGTCAGCGGGGGAGGGTTTTATCTGCCCTCGCTGCCCTGGGTTCTGTCATTGGCAAAAACTTAGTTCACGCAGAGATATGGAGGCCCAGGCAGAGCTCAGGGAAATGCTGCATGGCTAGGATTGTTCGAGGCATGAGCAGAGCTGTGATTTGACCCCTAGGGCTGCACTAAGAAAGTTGATAGCATCCTTCAGCCTGAAGCAATTGTGTGTTTGTGGAGTGGAACCCCTTGGTAAAAGGACCCCAAATGCGGATCACTGACCCACTCCCGCTTCCCCCCCACACATCTATAGAGCACCCTGGAGAGAAGGAGAAAGCCCTGAAACCAGACAGAGGAGGGGTGCGCACTGACAGTCGTTGCCCCGGTGCCAAACCCCTGTGTCCCATGGCCTCCCTCCTACTTCCATGGCCAGGTGCAGCCTCATTCTCTCTGCCTCACTGAAATCGTCTCTGTCCATCTCAAGATTCGTTTTGCGCTCTCTGCCCTGGGCAGAGGGAGAAGCTCAGATGTGGGGGTAGGGGGTGCTCAGGACCCTTTCTGTTCACAGGCAGGATTACTTCCCCCCAGACTAAACGCCTCCCAGGTCCCCCAGACTTACCTCACCCCTCTTTTCTCTCCACAGATGTTTGTGCAGGTGGCCGAAGTGGTGGGAGAGGCCTACGGACTGGAGCCCATTCAGGTGAGACGGTTTCCCTCCTGTCTGCCCTGCCCCATGTATCCCCATATTGCACCCCTCACCCACTGCACAGCATGCTCCTGCCCCATGCACTCCTTGCCCCACTCCCACGGGGTTGACGTTTCCCCAGAAGACACCCCGTCTTTTCCCCGTCCCAGCCTCCCTCCACCCCCCCAGTGACTCCCAGTGCCCTCCTGTCTCCCCTGCAGCATCTAGACCTGCTGGTGAGGGATTGGAGCAGCTCCCAGATCCTTGGAGTCCAGGGTGGTGAGAAGTATCTGAGACAAATCAGACAGGTGACTGGGGGACTTGGGGGGAATGGGACCCAGGGCCTGTATCATCTGGGGGGTGGTAGCTGCCATCCAGACTCAGTGCTGGGGACCGGCTGGCTTAGGGGGTGGGGGCTGGTAGCCCCAATCATTATAAAGGTTGCCTGACAAATCCCATTTATAAGACCCCTTTAAAGTTACTTATAACTTTGCCAAACTTTAAATGTTTGGGATGAAATTTTCCATGCTTGTTCTCTGCCTCCAGCTGAATTTGTGCTTGCTTCCTCCAGCTGTTTCTGAGAATGAAGCCAAAGAAAAACATTGTTTGGCAATATTGAAAGTAAATTCTTATGTTCCTTTTTTTAACATCTGTAGCCCCCTTGCCCTCCCTGCTTCAGAGTAAGGACTCTAAATATGGTGGTGGGTGGAGTGGCCAGTGTATCAAAGATATGCCATGGGATGTTCCCAAGAAAATCCCCCACACATTAGGGCAAGAAACCAGCTGTTGGACAATCTCATTTTGCACATGCTCAGGAGAGACTGGCTGGAGTTTAGCTGCTAAAGTCTCCAAAGAGTTCGTCCATGCTGACCTTGCTCCAGCCCCTCACAGCTCCGCATTCTGCCCAGACTGAGCATGCTCCGTCCCCACAGAACAACGAAACATACTCCAGCCTCAGGATACAGAAGCAAAGCTGGACTTTCTCTGCAATTACTGCTCCAGGCCAGGCACCAGAACCGAGAGGGGACCTCCTGTCTCTCCCATGCTCTCAATGAGCCCAGGTGGCATGGGGAAGGAAGCTGCTTGATTGCAGTGTGGAGGGGAGAAAAGCCATGCCCGGGGTAGAGAAAGGAGCATGCTGGGACAAAGCGTCTGGATAGACTGGGTACAGGGTGGGGGGAGGCTGAGATCTGGGACTCACTCCTTTCTCTTCCTACAATCCCCTGCCTCGTTCACTGCACCCCTTCCAATGCCTACCACAAACCAGGCTGGGCTCCTCCAGACCCTCTCTTACTGCCCAGACGGTCTGGCTAATGTTAACACATGTTTTTGTGTGTCAATGTAACGATTCCACCTGGCTCCGGCAGAAGCTGGAGGCGACATCCTCCTGCAAACACCCCAAGACCCTGGAAGTGCTGAGCAGAAGCAGGAGCCGCTGCTACCTGATGCCCTTACCTGGGAAGCGGATCATGATGGGGAGCAAGGGAACCTTGAGAGGTAACAGACCTGGGACAGAGGCTCTGAGCCCCCTGCCTTGTGCAGAACAATGTGACTTGGGCGCTGATCATCCCTACATGTGGAAGGTAGAGAGAAGTGGGATCAGACAGGCCCTATATTCTCCCACCATCGTCCGTCACTCTTCCCTTTGCAGACATGGATGAGGATTTCCGGGAGAGCCTGAGTGACTATGTCACCACCCTGGTGAGCTCGGCCAGTCAACACATCCAGACGGACCGGCATGGGGAGCTGCTCACCGGGACACAGCTCGCTGCCAAGATAAAGGTGGGGACCGGCCAGCTCTGCTGGAGGGAGCAGGAAGGGGATGCTCTCTCCTTGGAGTCAGTGATGACCCCAATACCCTGAATTCCCCAGTTGCCCCACCCCAGAGGCGGTTGCATCTCAGCGCCAGGCGAACCATCCCCATGTTCACAGCCTTTCTAAGTCCTGTGGAGTCTGTGACGTGATGATTTCTTTTGGTTCCTTTGCAGAATTTATCTGATGTGATGAAGAAACATTGCTTCGGCTTCTCCTCTCCCTGTCAGGTACCATCTCTGCCTCTGACCTGATAGTGGGTTGTCGCCCCTTTCCCATTCATACCAGGGCCGGTGAGGTGCTGGGAACTGGGGCCATGCTACTGGAGGTGCCTGGGAAAAGGTCTCAGGTTCCTGGACTCCAAAGTAGAAGAATTTGACAAGACCAGAGGGTAGCTGATGCTGGAGGATTTTCCCAGTCTACAGATGCGTCTCCAGTTCATGAGGCCCATAACATCAACATGCCTGTCCCCGGGCATGGGGATACACCTGCCCTTTGTATTTTGGCATGTAAATGACAGCAGTTTATCAGAACTGGCCCAAAAGTGGGGATATTTGTTTAGGTTTTCATGCAGAACCCGTTGAGTTTCCTACAAAACCCCCATAAGTTTCCATTTGGCAATGCTGCCAAGGTGGCTCCTGGGAACTGTAGTTCATGCTCCTCACATGCCTCTTTCTCCTCTATGGGTTGGTGTGATGGGGGGACATGCACCTCTCTTGAACACCTCCTGTCAGCTGGGTGTGATCCTGCACTCTTCCCTTTTTATCATTCTGGTGCCGCTTGTCAGCGGTTGCCATAGTCAGGGGTGCCTCAGCCCTTTGGCTAAGTCACACATAGTCTAAAGACATACAAAGGAACCTCTTCCCGGGTAACACAGTCCAACAAATGGTTGGCCCTCTGTGGGGTCTTGAGCCTCATCTCTGGGCCTGTTTAAACTGTAGCCCATTTCTCAGGCTCTAAAACTAAACTTGCCCCCTTTTCAGGGCTCTGGCCACTGCACCAGTGGGGGACCTGGGCTAGCTCGCTACTCTGGGTCCCAACCCAGTGACCCTGCTAGTAGCGGCCACCTGCTGCTTTCTTTCCCAGTTGCTACTGCTGCATTTCCTGGGCTGCTTCCCAATCTGTCCCACCACCTTCTTGGGTTCTCTGTCTGTTCCCTGTGTGAGCAGGGTCTCCCCCAGACCTCCTTGCCTGGAGAGTTTCTTTGTCTCTGTCCTGAGTTCTCAGGGTCTTCTCTCAGGCCTCTGTGCCTGGACACCTTCCCAGTCCTGTCCCTGTGTGAGCTGGGTTTCTCCCCAGTCTCTTTCCCTGTGGAGTCTCACAGCCTTTTAGGCCTTCTTTACCCTTCTGGTCCCAGCCAGCGACTGCCCTGCTCAGCCCTTGTAGCTCCTTTTTAACTGAGCCTGCTGCACCCTGATTGGCTGCTTCCCTGCAGGCCTGGAGGACCCACCCACATTGCTCCTTTTCCTGGGATGGGGTGTGCTAGGACTGCAATACCTCCAGCAGGAGCCCTAAAGGGCCTGGTACACCCCATCCCAGTTGAGCATCCTAGTTGAACAGCATCTCCCATGAGCCTGGTCTTAGAAGACAATGGGGCAACTAGACTTCCTCTCCCATGATGCACCAGCATCTCCTTGTTTGGTGAGGGGAAGCCAGGCATCATGGCCCTGTGGCACCATGGGAGTTCTAGTTTGACCATGGAGCTGGGAATATAGAGGAGAATAAGGCAGCCAAACTACATTTCCCACAATGCACCACAGTGTCCTTTTTCGGTGGCTGTAGTGAATCATGCGAGGCAAATGTGGTGAGATGGGGGAAGGTGGCTCAAAAGGCTCTACTGTGATCCTGAATTCAGGGACTTAGGGATGGAGGGTCTGAGCCTGAGTCAAGCTGGGAGCTAGAGTTTAAGGCCTGTTGCTTTACAGCCTAGCCTTAGCCCTGCTGGACTTGTGCTCTGGGAGGCTGCCCAAAGTATCCCAAAATTGCATGGGGCCGACTTTTTCTCCTGTGGCCAGTCAGGTTTGCTGAACAGTTCAGTTTTCCCAGGCTGCACTACCACCAAAGGGGGAAAGGGCAGCTGCAGCTGGGACAGGTGCTAGCAATTCTGGGATACGGGTGGTTTCACTCTGGCCTCCATAACGCAGTGTAGATGCTGGAGCTCCAAGCTGGAACCCAGGGTTCAACCAGTCCTAACCTGGGGTTACAAATGCGTGTAGAATCTCCAGCCCTAGGTTAACAACCCTAGGGGCTGCTAACTCCATTCCTACTAACTCTGGGCTTACATCGCAGTGTAGACATAACCATAGGCATGCACAGTAAAGCTCTCTTGGGTGTCAGCTTCAGATTGGTTGGGATAGGTGCGACGCAGGCCCTCTTCTAGAGGAGAATGGCGGGGGGGGGGTCACAGCTTATGTACATGGGAGGAATAGATTGACCTAGCTATTCTGGAATAAATATTCTGCAGTAGCCACTCCAGAATAGTGCAACAGCAGAGACTGTTCTGGAGTCATTGTGTTACTGGGTCAGTTTAGGGCACCCCACCTACCTATGCTACCAAGGGCTCAAGGCGTGACCCAGTCAATTTAAGGTACCCTCACCCTTTCCCTACTGAGGGCTCAGGGTGTACGACGTATAAGTGCATAAGAACAGCCATACTGGGTCAGACCAAAGGTCCATTTAGCCCAGTGTCCTGTCTTCCCACAGTGGCCAGGACCAGGTGCCCCAGAGGGAATGAACAGAACAGGTAATCATCAAGTGATCCATGCCCTGTCGCCTATGCCCAGTGTAACCCATCTGCCTGTCAGAGTTGGCAGCAGCAAGGGCCGGGTTCAGTATCTAGGGGTTCCATTCCAATTACAATGCAAAATTGGCTCAAGCCCCCACCCAGTGACCTGGGACAAATATATACCACCCCAGCTGGGTGCCTCCAAGAGGCAATACTTCCCCTCTCGTAAGCACATAGTCTGAGTGTAGCAAAAAAACGTTTAATGACAGAGAAAAACAATGTGGCATTATGTTGGGGAAACACCACCAACAGGATTCATAACACAACCCATGAGCTAAAAACCCACCCCAAGCAAATTTGTCCATGTCCTTTCCCTTTGGTTCTTGAGTCCAGCAACCCAAAATCACCCGAAGTCCCAAAAGTCCAATGACCCAAAAGTCTCTGTCCCTGGTCAGGGGAGCCCTAGAGTTCAAAAGTTTATCTGCAGAGTTTTACCTCCCAACCTGGGTGGAGATTGGTGGGAGGGGTTAAGGAGCACCTTACATGGTCCACCTCTCCATGGGGCTCCGCTTCGCCAGCCACTCCGCTCCACCAGCCACTCTGCTCGCTGTTCCGCCAGCCGCTCCGCCCCACCAGCCGCTCTGCTCGCCGTCCCGCAAACTGCTCCACCATATATCTTCAGGTTTCAGAGTAGCAGCTGTGTTAGTCTGTATTTGCAAAAAGGAAAGGAGTACTTGTGGCACCTTAGAGACTAATTTAAATTTATTTGAATATAAACTTTTGTGAGCTACAGCTCACTTCATCAGATGCATCCAATGAAGTGAGCTGTAGCTCACGAAAGCTCATGCTCAAATAAATTGGTTAGTCTCTAAGGTGCCACAAGTACTCCTTTTCTTTTTGCGTATATCTTCAGGCTCCCCCACTACTTAACACAATACTCAGTGATTTCAGCTCATAGTAAGTTCAGCTCTTTTGTGATTTCAGCTTTAGTAGGGGAGCCTCAGTGCTGGTGCACCATTAGCCCAAAGTGAATTCAGCTCAGCAGCCTATAACTAGACTCCTAATAGAATCAAAATTAGCTCTGATATTCCACAGTGGAGAGAGGAGGAAGTGCAATTAGCATATAAGGCCCTCACCAGGGGGCCCATGCCACCAAGTATTAACACCTATCCCCAGCCTTTTTCCATTCAGAGTGTTGGAACCCATGTCCCTTGCCTGGTGAGTGTTACTTAGTTGATGGCGAGTCCCTCCATCATACCACAAAAGGCCAAGTATAGTTCTACTGTCCTTGATTCCCATAGTCAGGGTAATAAAAATTTATTCTTCCTGCCCCAATAACAGAGACACTGGGGATCCCACAGCAGCCAAAGTGACCATTTGGGCAGCTATGGCCTCATTCTAGGTGGGGTGGGTGTGCCTATGCAAATGAGATCAGCCCCTGAAGTTCTTTTCCACAACTTGCCACACCTCACCACCAGATGTCAGGGTGGAGCTCATCCAAACTCTGCTTACACCAGCTTCTGGCAAACCTGTCCATACTCATGGGATCAGGAAGAAACCTGGTCCATTTAAGTATCCGCCCTTCCCCTCAGGGCTGAACAGGTATGCAGAACCTTTTCCCAGCAAAAGAGCCTTACACAGTTGTGCTCTAAACATCTATTTATTAGCAACACACACAGAACACATATACCAATCAAATCCCTTATGCTCACCTCTCCCGATATACAGACAAATTTCACCAAATGGCCAGTCAGGATTCATTCATCAGGAGTTCCTGGAGCCCATACAGGTCACGGTCGTGCAGGGGGTAGGATGATGTAGCTTGATGTTGTACTGCAGTCTGGAGTTCATTCCCAAAGTGCATTGTTTTTCATTTCCATTATATAGGTAAAATTAGCTCCCTCTTTCATGTTTACTAAACCTATCACATTATCCCACACCCCTAAATAACAGAAATTTTAAACAATTACACCCTGGCACCTATGTGTCCTTCTTCCTGCCCACGTTCTGTACATTTTCTCTTTCATGCCCAAATGGTAACTTGGTTTTGACCTTCACTGTTTGTGCAGAGGGTCAGCATAAAATGCTGGTCAGAGCTTATCTTACCATTTGTTCAGTCTCTTCTGTATCCTCCCTAATTTCCCAGCCCCTGGTGTCTCCACTTCACAACCTCCATGGTTATAACGCTCGTGAGAGACATTCCTGAGCTGGGGCTGCTTTAACAGCAGCAGAACATTCTTCTTTACACTTTTAGTGGTGATATCCCTGAGTATCACCCAAGGCTGGTTTAATGTGTGTGTGTGGGGGGGGTGGGGGGCTGATCAGGTCTCAGGCCAACAATTGCTCCTCCTCAACAAGGTTTAACCCATCCCAGAACAATACCCTTCCCCCCACCAAAAAAAAAAAAAAAGCTGAGATTCCCATCCAAACCATCTGCCTCCTGGGGAATCGATAAAACCCCCAAATACCGACAGACCTGTGAGAGCCAGCATCACTGACATGCTCACAGGTGTCAGCCTCAGGCCAAGCCCAGCTGGGAAAGGGGTTTGCAAAGTCCTGGGCTACAGGAAGGTGCTGCAATTGGAAAGTGCAGGCCAGGGCAGGGCAGGGAGCCGAAGCTGGGCTGCCGTGAGGAACAAACTGGAGACTGGCGGCACAAGAAGCCCCAAGCAGCTGCCACACCAGCTAGCAGCATTGCTGTTAGGTGAGCCTACTGTGGTGGAAGCAGCAGCCACTAGGTGGAACTGAGTCCCCATAAACTGCAGCTCACCCCAGCATTATCCTCCCTGCACAGATGGCCATCACCTTCCACAACCAGAGAGTCATGGACAGAGCCCGCGCAGGCCACGCTGTGTTTCTGAGGGAGAAGGTGAGTCGGGGGGATGGGACGGAGCAGGAACTGTGCCCCAGTGAAGGGAACCCCAGAGAACAATCCCAGCCAGTCCCATGGGCTGTGGGCTTTGGGGCAGGAGATGGGAGTTCTCATCTCCGGCTCCCAGTGTGGTTGCGGAGATGGGAGACTCCAACCCATGTCCAGTGGGGTGGAGGGAAGTTGCTGTTCTGTAGTCAAAGGGTCCATGGGTGAGACATGGTCGCACAGCCGCTCCTTCTAACAGCCTTGGCCCCCCTCCTCTCTCGCTCAATGCAGGACGGCCTGTCCCAGCGCATGGCCGACTGTCTGAAGGTGACACCGAGTGCAATGGCGCAGCAGTTCGGGGAGCAGCACAAGTCACTGCTGGAGCGATGCCGGGAGGAGATGAAGGAGCCGGAGGAGACCCTGCTGACGGCGCTGGAGACAGAGCTGACTCGGGAGGCAAACACCTTCCTGGAGACCTACAGAAGGCGCTATCAGAGTCACGCCACCAACAAGAGTGTCATGGACAGAGCCCGCATAGACCAAGCTGACTTTTTGAGGGAGAAGGTGAGTCAGGGGTTGGGTCTGTGCCCCAGCCAGGGGAACGCCAGAGAACCCCCCTAGCCAGGCTCTGGGCTTTGGCGCACGAGATGAGAGTTCGTATCTCCAGCTCCCAGGGTGGCTGAAGAGATGGGAGGCTCCAAACCATGTCCAGTGGGGGCCGTGACCTTGGTCAGGGGGTGGAGGGAAGTTGCTGTTCTGTAGCCAGAGGGTCCATGGGTGAGACAGGGTCGCACACCCACCCCTTCTAACAGCCTTGGGCCCCCTGCTCTCCCGCTCAATGCAGGACGGCCTGTCCCAGCGCACGGCCGACTGTCTGAAGGTGACACCGAGCGCAATGATGAAGCAGTTGGCAGAGCAGCGCAGGTCGCTGCTGGGGCGGTGCCGGGAGGAGATGAAGGAGCCGAAGGAGACCCTGCTGACGGCGCTAGAGGTGGAGCTGACTCGGGAGGCTGAGGCCTTCCTGGAGACCTACAGGAGAGCGGTATCAGAGGCACAACATCAACCAGAGAGCCATGGACAGCGCCCGCCGAGGCCACGCTGACTTTCTGAGGGAGCATGTGAGTCTGGGGGGCAGGGGTCTGTGCCACAGCCAGGGGAACCACAGGGTAAAATCCCAGACAGCCCCACAGGGTCTGGACTTTGGGGTAGGAGACGGGAGTACATACCTCTGACTCCCAGGGTGGCAGCGGAGATGGGAGATACCAACCCATCTACAATGGTGGCTCTGATCTCAGTCAGGGGGTCTGTGCAGAGCCCCACAGGATACGGGACCCAATCTCAGTCACAGGAGGGGAGGGAATTTGCTGTGCTGTAACCGGACCATCCATGGGTGAGACAGGGTCGCACACCTGCCCCTTCTAACAGCCTGTACTCTCCCCCTCCTCTCCCGCTCAATGCAGGACGGTCTGTCCCAGCGCATGGCTGACTGTCTGAAGGTGACACCGAGTGCAATGGCGCAGCAGTTCGGGGAGCAGCACAAGTCACTGCTGGAGCGATGCCGGGAGGAGATGAAGGAGCCGGAGGAGACCCTGCTGACGGCGCTGGAGACAGAGCTGACTCGGGAGGCAAACACCTTCCTGGAGACCTACAGAAGGCGCTATCAGAGTCACGCCACCAACAAGAGTGTCATGGACAGAGCCCGCATAGACCAAGCTGACTTTTTGAGGGAGAAGGTGAGTCAGGGGTTGGGTCTGTGCCCCAGCCAGGGGAACGCCAGAGAACCCCCCTAGCCAGGCTCTGGGCTTTGGCGCACGAGATGAGAGTTCGTATCTCCAGCTCCCAGGGTGGCTGAAGAGATGGGAGGCTCCAAACCATGTCCAGTGGGGGCCGTGACCTTGGTCAGGGGGTGGAGGGAAGTTGCTGTTCTGTAGCCAGAGGGTCCATGGGTGAGACAGGGTCGCACACCCACCCCTTCTAACAGCCTTGGGCCCCCTGCTCTCCCGCTCAATGCAGGACGGCCTGTCCCAGCGCACGGCCGACTGTCTGAAGGTGACACCGAGCGCAATGATGAAGCAGTTGGCAGAGCAGCGCAGGTCGCTGCTGGGGCGGTGCCGGGAGGAGATGAAGGAGCCGAAGGAGACCCTGCTGACGGCGCTAGAGGTGGAGCTGACTCGGGAGGCTGAGGCCTTCCTGGAGACCTACGGAGAGCGGTATCAGAGGCACAACATCAACCAGAGAGCCATGGACAGCGCCCGCCGAGGCCACGCTGACTTTCTGAGGGAGCATGTGAGTCTGGGGGGCAGGGGTCTGTGCCACAGCCAGGGGAACCACAGGGTAAAATCCCAGACAGCCCCACAGGGTCTGGACTTTGGGGTAGGAGACGGGAGTACATACCTCTGACTCCCAGGGTGGCAGCGGAGATGGGAGATACCAACCCATCTACAATGGTGGCTCTGATCTCAGTCAGGGGGTCTGTGCAGAGCCCCACAGGATACGGGACCCAATCTCAGTCACAGGAGGGGAGGGAATTTGCTGTGCTGTAACCGGACCATCCATGGGTGAGACAGGGTCGCACACCTGCCCCTTCTAACAGCCTGTACTCTCCCCCTCCTCTCCCGCTCAATGCAGGACGGTCTGTCCCAGCGCATGGCTGACTGTCTGAAGGTGACACCGAGTGCAATGGCGCAGCAGTTCGGGGAGCAGCACAAGTCACTGCTGGAGCGATGCCGGGAGGAGATGAAGGAGCCGGAGGAGACCCTGCTGACGGCGCTGGAGACAGAGCTGACTCGGGAGGCAAACACCTTCCTGGAGACCTACAGAAGGCGCTATCAGAGTCACGCCACCAACGACAGTGTCATGGACAGAGCCCGCATAGACCAAGCTGACTTTTTGAGGGAGAAGGTGAGTCAGGGGTTGGGTCTGTGCCCCAGCCAGGGGAACGCCAGAGAACCCCCCTAGCCAGGCTCTGGGCTTTGGCGCACGAGATGAGAGTTCGTATCTCCAGCTCCCAGGGTGGCTGAAGAGATGGGAGGCTCCAAACCATGTCCAGTGGGGGCCGTGACCTTGGTCAGGGGGGTGGAGGGAAGTTGCTGTTCTGTAGCCAGAGGGTCCATGGGTGAGACAGGGTCGCACACCCACCCCTTCTAACAGCCTTGGGCCCCCTGCTCTCCCGCTCAATGCAGGACGGCCTGTCCCAGCGCACGGCCGACTGTCTGAAGGTGACACCGAGCGCAATGATGAAGCAGTTGGCAGAGCAGCGCAGGTCGCTGCTGGGGCGGTGCCGGGAGGAGATGAAGGAGCCGAAGGAGACCCTGCTGACGGCGCTAGAGGTGGAGCTGACTCGGGAGGCTGAGGCCTTCCTGGAGACCTACGGAGAGCGGTATCAGAGGCACAACATCAACCAGAGAGCCATGGACAGCGCCCGCCGAGGCCACGCTGACTTTCTGAGGGAGCATGTGAGTCTGGGGGGCAGGGGTCTGTGCCACAGCCAGGGGAACCACAGGGTAAAATCCCAGACAGCCCCACAGGGTCTGGACTTTGGGGTAGGAGACGGGAGTACATACCTCTGACTCCCAGGGTGGCAGCGGAGATGGGAGATACCAACCCATCTACAATGGTGGCTCTGATCTCAGTCAGGGGGTCTGTGCAGAGCCCCACAGGATACGGGACCCAATCTCAGTCACAGGAGGGGAGGGAATTTGCTGTGCTGTAACCGGACCATCCATGGGTGAGACAGGGTCGCACACCTGCCCCTTCTAACAGCCTGTACTCTCCCCCTCCTCTCCCGCTCAATGCAGGACGGTCTGTCCCAGCGCATGGCTGACTGTCTGAAGGTGACACCGAGTGCAATGGCGCAGCAGTTCGGGGAGCAGCACAAGTCACTGCTGGAGCGATGCCGGGAGGAGATGAAGGAGCCGGAGGAGACCCTGCTGACGGCGCTGGAGACAGAGCTGACTCGGGAGGCAAACACCTTCCTGGAGACCTACAGAAGGCGCTATCAGAGTCACGCCACCAACGACAGTGTCATGGACAGAGCCCGCATAGACCAAGCTGACTTTTTGAGGGAGAAGGTGAGTCAGGGGTTGGGTCTGTGCCCCAGCCAGGGGAACGCCAGAGAACCCCCCTAGCCAGGCTCTGGGCTTTGGCGCACGAGATGAGAGTTCGTATCTCCAGCTCCCAGGGTGGCTGAAGAGATGGGAGGCTCCAAACCATGTCCAGTGGGGGCCGTGACCTTGGTCAGGGGGGTGGAGGGAAGTTGCTGTTCTGTAGCCAGAGGGTCCATGGGTGAGACAGGGTCGCACACCCACCCCTTCTAACAGCCTTGGGCCCCCTGCTCTCCCGCTCAATGCAGGACGGCCTGTCCCAGCGCACGGCCGACTGTCTGAAGGTGACACCGAGCGCAATGATGAAGCAGTTGGCAGAGCAGCGCAGGTCGCTGCTGGGGCGGTGCCGGGAGGAGATGAAGGAGCCGAAGGAGACCCTGCTGACGGCGCTAGAGGTGGAGCTGACTCGGGAGGCTGAGGCCTTCCTGGAGACCTACGGAGAGCGGTATCAGAGGCACAACATCAACCAGAGAGCCATGGACAGCGCCCGCCGAGGCCACGCTGACTTTCTGAGGGAGCATGTGAGTCTGGGGGGCAGGGGTCTGTGCCACAGCCAGGGGAACCACAGGGTAAAATCCCAGACAGCCCCACAGGGTCTGGACTTTGGGGTAGGAGACGGGAGTACATACCTCTGACTCCCAGGGTGGCAGCGGAGATGGGAGATACCAACCCATCTACAATGGTGGCTCTGATCTCAGTCAGGGGGTCTGTGCAGAGCCCCACAGGATACGGGACCCAATCTCAGTCACAGGAGGGGAGGGAATTTGCTGTGCTGTAACCGGACCATCCATGGGTGAGACAGGGTCGCACACCTGCCCCTTCTAACAGCCTGTACTCTCCCCCTCCTCTCCCGCTCAATGCAGGACGGTCTGTCCCAGCGCATGGCTGACTGTCTGAAGGTGACACCGAGTGCAATGGCGCAGCAGTTCGGGGGAGCAGCACAAGTCACTGCTGGAGCGATGCCGGGAGGAGATGAAGGAGCCGGAGGAGACCCTGCTGACGGCGCTGGAGACAGAGCTGACTCGGGAGGCAAACACCTTCCTGGAGACCTACAGAAGGCGCTATCAGAGTTACGCCACCAACGACAGTGTCATGGACAGAGCCCGCATAGACCAAGCTGACTTTTTGAGGGAGAAGGTGAGTCAGGGGTTGGGTCTGTGCCCCAGCCAGGGGAACGCCAGAGAACCCCCCTAGCCAGGCTCTGGGCTTTGGCGCACGAGATGAGAGTTCGTATCTCCAGCTCCCAGGGTGGCTGAAGAGATGGGAGGCTCCAAACCATGTCCAGTGGGGGCCGTGACCTTGGTCAGGGGGGTGGAGGGAAGTTGCTGTGCTGTAGCCAGAAGGTTCCTGGGTGAGACAGGGTCGCACACCCACCCCTTCTAACAGCCTTGGGCCCCCTGCTCTCCCGCTCAATGCAGGACGGCCTGTCCCAGCGCATGGCCGACTGTCTGAAGGTGACACCGAGCGCAATGATGAAGCAGTTGGCAGAGCAGCGCAGGTCGCTGCTGGGGCGGTGCCGGGAGGAGATGAAGGAGCCGAAGGAGACCCTGCTGATGGCGCTAGAGGTGGAGCTGACTCGGGAGGCTGAGACCTTCCTGGAGACCTACGGAGAGCGGTATCAGAGGCACAACATCAACCAGAGAGCCATGGACAGAGCCCGCCGAGGCCACGCTGACTTTCTGAGGGAGCATGTGAGTCTGGGGGGCAGGGGTCTGTGCCACAGCCAGGGGAACCACAGGGAAAATTGCCAGCCAGCCCCACAGGCTCTGGTATTTGGGGTAGGACACAGGAGCTCATACCTCTGACTTCGAGGGTGGCTGCGGAGATGGGAGATTCCAACCCATCTACAATGGGGGCCCCAATCTCAGTCACAGGGGTATGAGGAAATTGCTTTGCTGTAGCCAGAGGGTCCATTCGTGAGACAGGGTCGCACACCCACCCCTTCTAACAGCGTTGGGCCCCCCTCCTCTGCCACTCAATTCAGGGCGGCAAGTCTAAGGGCTTTCCGAAGACATCAAGCGCAATGGCGGAGGAGTTGGCGGAGCTGCGCAGGTCGCTGCTGGAGCGGTGCCGGGAGGAGATGAAGGAGCCGGATGAGACCCTGCTGACGGCACTAGAGGAGGAGCTGATTCAGGAGGCTGAGACCTTCCTGGAGAGCTACATATGGCACTATTGGAGTCACATCATTAATAATTTCATGGAGTTGTTGGAGAGGTTTCATTCCGTATTTTCGAATTTGTGTTATTTTTTCTTTTCTTTCTTCTGAGGCTGCAAAGCTAAGCAATGACAGTTGGGGTGGGGATGGGAGTAGGGTGGGCAGTACTGTGACAGATTTCTGTTACCGATCTGCCTGAGACATCAGTTGATCAGGCCAATGCCACAGGATCATTTTTGGGGAGGAGATGATGCAACACACCAAGTGTCTAATTTTAAAGCTTTATGAATAAAATAATAAAACAGCGGAGAGTGTTTTGGGAATTTCCCACATTACTGAAGGAAGGAAAAAGCAAAGTGTTAGTACCCCCAGCCCTAACCCACAGTCATACTTACTCCTGTACTGCCCGAAACTGGCCAGGCCTGGGTGTAACATCATAAGAAAAGGATGGGGAAGGGTGGATGGGAATGGTGTCCTGGTCCCAGGCCATCCAAGGATCCACTACTGATCTTTGAGTTGCTCCAGCTTTCAGGAGAGTTTTAAGTCCTGGGTTTCTTGGGGGGCATTCCACTCAGGGACCTCTGCTTCTGGTGTTGTTTGTGCCAGTCCAAACCGGCTCTCTGTGGTCTCTTCACTTTTCCAAAACATCCCGGCTCCAGGGGCATGAGACTCAGCTCCCCCTCTTGTCATCTTGCCAGTGTTTTCAACCTCTGCATCCTTAAACTTTGTTTTCCTTCATGCCGGCCTCGCTGTCTTGCAAGTCTGTTCAGCTGCATCTGTCTTTCTCACAGCTAGTCAGTGAATTCAAGGCCCCCCGTCTTTCTTGACAGGCAGCCAAGCGTCAGCTGTGAGCTTTGGTTGAGTAAGCTGGAGTATAAATTAACCAGTTCTCTGCTTTTTTCCCTCCTTCCCCCTCTGGCCTTTCGCCACCTACAAAAAAATCTTCCATTCCACACTCACACCTTTAACGCTTCCCAAAATGCCCTGCAATGCTTGCAACCGCATTAGCAATATACAGTGCATATACAATGCTAATCTGCCTCCCCCTGGGGGTCCCCTGAGGGAGGGGGCCATTGGGGTGTAACACTACAACCAGGAGGTATATTGGTGTGGCGGTGGGTGGCAACATTGGGCAGAAGGAACCCACAAGAGCTGCAGACACCCTGTCATAAATATAAAGGGAAGGGTAAAGACCTTTAAAATCCCTCCTGGCCAGAGGAAAAACCCTTTCACCTGTAAAGGGTTAAGAAGCTAGGATAACCTCGCTGGCACCTGACCACAATGACCAATGAGGAGACAAGATACTTTCAAAGCTGGAGGGGGGGAGAAACAAAGGGTCTGGGTCTGTCTGTGTGATGCTTTTGCCGGGGACAGAACAGGAATGAAGTCTCAGAACTTAGTAAGTAATCTAGCTAGATATGCATTAGATTCTGTTTGTTTAAATGCCCGAGAAAATAAGCTGTGCTGAATAGAATGAATATTCCTGTCTGTGTGTCTTTTTGTAACTTAAGGTTTTGCCTAGAGGGATTCTCTACGTTTTGAATCTAATTACCCTGTAAGGTATTTACCATCCTGATTTTACAGAGGTAATTCTTTTATTTTTCTTCTATTAAAATTCTTCTTTTAAGAAACGGAATGCTTTTTCATTGTTCTTAAGATCCAAGGGTTTGGGTCTGTGGTCACCTATACAAATTGGTGAGGATTTTTATCAAATGTTCCCCAGGAAGGGGGTTGCAAGGTTTTGGTGAGGATTTCTGAGGGGAAAGACGTTTCCAAACAAGCTCTTTCCCAATAAAATAAAACCGGTTAGACGTTTGGTGGTGGCAGCAAAAGTCCAAGGGCAAATGTAAAATAGTTTGTACCTTGGGGAAGTTTTAACCTAAGCTGGTAAAAGTAAGCTTAGGAGGTTTTCATGCAGGTCCCCACATCTGTACCCTTGGGTTCAGAGTGGGGAAGGAACCTTGACATGGTGGCAGAGCGGTGGAATCAACTTGAAATCATTTTGAGATTTTTTGAACCAGGAGCACAGATTTGAAAAGGTAATATTTTTTTTCCCTTTGGGCTGCTGGAAAGCAGGTTAAACTGAAAACAGTTTTTTTTTCTCTGCTTTGGGGCCAGAGCGGAGACAAAAGGGAATTGTCTTGTGAGCTGGAGTTCTCTACCTAAAGGCAGGGTAGTTAACCTCCTGCAGGGAAATTCACAAGCCTTCACAGACCTGAAGTTTTGTTTTTCTTTTACCCAAGAGCAACTGGAGGGGTTTTCTGCCTATTTGCCTGGAAACAAAGGTGTTAGGTTTCTTCTTTTTTTTTTTTAGGATTTCTCTGTAGGCTGACAATCACTATCAGAGAATATAGGTATCATATTACACCACAGCAAATTTTTACAAGCCAAGGTTTTTTTTTGTTTTCTTTCTCACTCTTCGGTGTAAAGTTAGTTAAAAACAGAGAGGTTAGGATGACAGACTCCACGGCTGGAATTAGCCAGGTTTGAGGCTGAGGAAAAAGAAAAGGAACATGAAAGACAGGTAGAACTCAGACGAATGGAGATGGAGGAGAAGGAAAAAGAGAGGAAGCATGTGGAGGAGATGGAGAAGATAAAGGCTCAGCAGAATATACCAACAAACCCTAGCAATCCTTCTCTAGGTACCACTTACCATCCCAGAAAGTTCCCCACCTACAAAGCAGGTGATAATACCGAGGCCTTCTTAGAAAACGTTGAAAGGGCCTGCCTTGTGTACAGCATCTCTACAGACAAATACATGGTAGAGCTGAGGCCGCAGCTCAGTGGACCCTTAGCTGAGGTGGCAGCTGAAATGCCTAAAGAACACATGAACTAGTATGAACTGTTTAAATCCAAGGCAAGAGTCAGAATGGGGATAACACCCGGGCATTCTTGTCGGAGGTTCAGAGCCCTAAGGTGGAAACCAGACGTGTCATTTACCAGACATGCCTACCACATTGTGAAACATTGGGATGCCTGGATATCAGGAGCAAGTGTTGAATCTCCAGAAGATTTGCCCTTCCTAATGCAAATGGAGCAGTTCCTAGAGGGTGTTCCTGAGAAAATAGAAAGATACATCCTGGATGGGAAGCCCAAAACTGTAATCGAGGCGGGGGAGATTGGACCCAAATGGGTCGAGGTGGCAGAAAAGAAAACTGGTCGCAGTTGGAGCGGATACCAGAAGGGACAACCTCAGACCACCCCTTACTACCGGGGGCTGCCCAAGGCTCCAATTACCCCCCCAAGGAACCCTCCAGACACCTTATCGTCTCGCCACACCATTCTCCAGCAACCCACCTCACCCCAGTGACCCGTCAGCTGGACAACGTTTTAAATACAATGAGACGGGGCATGTAAAGTCCAATTGCCCCAAGAACCCCAACAGATTACAGTTCATTGCACCAGGATAACACCAGAGGTCCTCAGGCCCAGATACCTAACAGATACCCTTGGAGTGGAGGGAAACTGTGAGTGTGGGCGGGAAAAAGGTCACCGCGTGGAGGGACACCGGAGCACAAGTGTCAGCTATCCATGCTTCCTTAGTGGACCCCAATTTAATCAACCCAGAGATCTAAGTGACGATTCAACCCTTCAAGTCCAACTCTTTCGATTTGCCTACAGCCAAGTTGCCTGTCCAGTACCAGGGCTGGTCAGGAATGTGGACTTTTGCAGTCTATGATGATTATCCCATCCCCATGCTGTTGGGGGAAGACTTGGCCAATCGTGTAAAGTCAGCCAAGAGGGTGGGAATGGTCACCCGCAGCCAGGCTAAACCAGCCATCACGCCTAGCTCTGTTCTGGAAACTTCTACTAGGACCTGGTCAGAGGTGATGGACCCGGACCCCAGGCCAATGTCTGCAACAGCAGTAGTGGATCCAGTCCCAGAGACCCAGACGGAACCAGTCCCAGAACCGGAACCAGCGGAACAACCAGCACCAGATCCATTGCCAGCACTGAACCCAGTACTTGCAACCCCAGCACCAGAGGGCCCCACCCAACCTGAACCAGCAGCAGCCGATAACCCTACACAAGAGGCTCAGCCGGAAACTGACCGCAACATAGTGCGCCAGCGGAGAGCGGTTCACAGTCAACGGAAACAGCCCCATCCCGTACATCGCTTCCAAAGGGACCAAGCCTAGGTCCACAATCCAATGAGGGACTGATGTCTCCAGCATCAAGGGAACAGTTCCAGATAGAACAGAAAGTAGATGAAAGCCTCCAGAGACCTTGGACGGTGGCACAGAGCAACCACCGCCTCTCAGCTCTTCTAATCGATGCAGGTTTGTTGTAGAAAAAGGACTTTTATACAAGGAAACTCTTTCTGGTGGACACCAGGAAGACTGGCATCCTCAGAGACGGTTGGTAGTTCCAACTAAGTACTGGGTCAAGCTCTTGAGCTTAGCTCATGGATCATCCTCGTGGCCATGCTGGGGTGAACAGGACCAAAGACCGGTTGGGGAGGTCATTCCACTGGGAGGGAATGGGCAAGGATGTTTCTACCTATGTCTAGTCTTGTGAGGTATGCCAAAAAATGGAAAAACCCCAAGACCAGGTCAAAGCCCCTCTCCAGCCACTCCCCATCATTGAAGTTCCATTTAAGAAAGTAGCTGTGGATATTCTAGGTCCTTTTCCGAAAAAGACACCCAGAGGAAAGCAGTACATACTGACTTTCATGGATTTTGCCACCCGATGGCTGGAAGCAGTAGCTGTAAGCAACACCAGGGCTAAAAGTGTGTGCCAGGCACTCGCAGACATTTTTGCCAGGGTAGGTTGGCCCTCCGACATCCTCACAGATGCAGGAACCATGGAAAACCTCTGGGAAGCTAATGGGGTAAATCACTTGGTTGCTACTCCTTACCACCATCAAACAAATGGCCTGGTGGAGAAGTTTAATGGAACTTTGGGGGCCATGATACGTAAATTCGTAAATGAGCACTCCAATGATTGGGACCTAGTGTTGCAGCAGTTGCTCTTTGCCTACACAGCTGTACCACATCCCAGTTTAGGGTTTTCACCATTTGAACTTGTATATGGCCGCAAAGTTAAGGGGCCATTACAGTTGGTGAAGCAGCAATGGGAGGGGTTTACACCTTCTCCAGGAACTAACATTCTGGAATTTGTAACCAACTTACAAAACACCCTCCGAACCTCGCTAGCCCTTGCTAAAGAAAACCTACAGGATGCTCAAAAAGAGCAAAAAGCCTGGTATGATAAACATGCCAGAGAGCGTTCCTTCAAAGTAGGGGACCAGGTCATGGTCTTAAAGGTGCTCCAAAATGGATGTGTCGTTGGAAAGGCCATTCACAGTCCAAGAGCACCTGGGAGCTGTTAATTATCTCATAGCATTCCCCACCTCCAAGTAAAAGCCTAAGGTATACCATATTAATTCTCTAAAGCCCTTTTATTCCAGAGAATTAAAGGTTTGTCAGTTTACAGCCCAGGGAGGAGAGGACGCTGAGTGGCCTGAAGGTGTCTACTACGAAGGGAGAAGTGCTGGTGGTGTGGAAGAGGTGAACCTGTCCATGACCCTTGGGCGTATGCAACGACAGCAGATCCAGAAGCAGCGTACTAGCTATGCGCCAAAGTTCTCAGCCACCCCAGGACTGACTGAATGGGCATATCACTCCAATGACACAGGTAATGCTCACCCAATTAAAGTCCAACCTTACCGGGTGTCTCCTCAAGCTAAAACTGCTATAGAATGGGAGATCCAGGACATGCTACAGATGGGTGTAATCTGCCCCTCTGGCAGTGCATGGGCATCTCCAGTGGTTCTAGTTCCCAAACCAGATTGGGAGATACATTGTTGCATGGACGACCGTAAGCTATATGCTGTAACTCGCCCAGACAACTATCCAATGCCACGCACAGATGAACTATTATAGCCCAAGGGGTACTGGCAGGTACTGCTATATGAATCTGCCATGGAAAGTTCAGCCTTCACCACACATGTCGAGCTGTATGAATTTAATGTGCTCCCTTTCGAGCTGCGGAATGCACCTGCCACCTTCCAAAGACTTGTAGATTATCTCCTAGAGGGATTAGGAGCATATGCAGTTGCCTACCTTGACGATGTGGCCATATTTTCAGATTCATGGGCAGAACACCTGGAACATCTACAAGAAGTCTTTGAGCACATAAGGGAGGCAGGACTAACTGTTAAGGCTAAGAAGTGTCAAATAGGCCTAAACAGAGTGACTTACCTTGGACACCAGGTGGGTCAAGGAACTATCAACCCCCTACAGGCCACAGTGGATGCTATCCAAAAGTGGCCTGTCCCAAAGTCAAAGAAACAGGTTCAATCCTTCTTAGGCTTGGCCGGATATTAAAGGTGATTTGTACCACAACAGCGCCAAATCACCGCCCCACTGACAGACCTAACCAAAAAGAAACAGCCAAATGCAGTTCAGTGGATCGAAGAGTGTCAGATGGCCTTTAACCAGCTTAAAGCAACACTCATGTCTTACCCTGTACTAAGGGCCCCAGACTTTGACAAACAGTTCCTAGTAACCACAGATGTGTCCGAGCGAGGTGTGGGAGCAGTTTTAATGCAGGAAGGACCGGATCAAGAATTCCATCCTGTCGTGTTTCTCAGCAAGAAG